ATTTTGTAGGGAGTTTGTGATAGCTGTTATTTAAATAAAGAAAGAAAGAAAGAAAGAAAGAAAGAAAGAAAGAAAGAAAGAAGAAAGGAAAAGAAACATAATCATCATCATAATTGAAAACATATACTTATCTCTCTTGGGAATCACTAGAAGTAGTTCACATAAACCAAGTAAGAGTCTAGAACTCAACATCACATCCACCTAAGGAATCTGATTGTTCTTACAGAAAATTCCACCAAACAGTAGAATACACTTTATTTTTCTGTGCCCATGTAACATATAAAGAAATGTTTAGATTTACTATATCTTTGTTCATTAAAAAAATTAACCACATTAAATATTTAATCTCAGACAAAATATGTATTCTCTGATCACAACTGAATCAAACCAGAAATCAATAACAAAGAAAATGGGGAAATTTCTAAGTTTTAAAGCTCCATGAATGAAATAATGCTAAACAGAAATAAATATACATAGACCTGAAAGAAAGTAGCAAAATAAGTTTTTGTAGGATACTGCTAAAACCATGCTAAGAAGAAAATGTATATATTAAATTGCAATATAAGAATGGCTTCAAATCAGTAATCTAATTTCATATGTCGAACAACTAACTAAAGGAAAAAGTAAATCAAAAGCAAGCAAAGAATTGAGAAATAGGAGAAAATTCCCGTTAAAGGGTATGCAAAGAAAAGGATCTACAGTATACTTTGGATGGCTATCTCACTGCCAGAGGAAAAATAAAGGATATTTCCAAGATTTGGATTATGAGAAGCACATGTGCTCCCCATGCCACCACCTTTTTATACTAAAAGTGTGATGCTAAAATATTTACCAAACCATTGTGATAAATACTTGTATGATCAGTCGAAAGTCTAAGAAGAAACATCAAACTTAGGCATCAGTTTCACCAGGTAAAACTAGAATACATTAGAATCCTTTCTTACAAATACATGCACTCAACTTTTAAAAAAATGTTAATTGTATGAAGTGATGGGTTTCATAAGGACATTTTTATTCAAGAATATTATTTACTTTGACCATGTTTATCCCCCAATGTGCTCTCCTGTCCTATCTCCCCCTCTCGTTTCCCAGTTTCCTTCTATGATCTTGCCATATGTGTGTGCATATCTCATATATTATATATATTTAATCTAGAATTCACATATGATAGAAAACATGAAAATTTGTTTAAGTCTGAATAATTTTACTTAGCATAATGAGTTCCTGAAAAGAATGACATTATTTTTTTTTTTCTGTTAATGGACAGATAGCTTGGTTCCATCATTTGGTTATTGTGAGCAGTGAAGCAATAAACATGCATCATCAGGCATCTCTGCTGTATGGTGACTTGAATTCTTTGGTTACACATCTATGAGTAGTACGGCTGAATCATATGGTAGTTTCATTTTTAATTTATTGACGAACATCCATAGTGATTTCCATAAAGCCTAAACTAATTTACCTTCTCAGCAAATATATATAAGGGTTCCTTTTTCTCTGTATCCTAGCCAGCATTTGTTATTTATTATCTTAAGGAGTGCTTCTTTTAGCCATATTTGCTTAGGATCCAGGTTGATTTGTGGTCCTACCTTTATTATGGAAATATTTCCCGCTCCTATGAATTCTACCATTACATAACACAGCAAACACAAGTCACTGCTTTTCCATCTCTCACTGCCAGCAAGTGGAGTGGTGCCAGGTGAAGTAGAGGATGAAGTGGGGAAGAGAAGGGCAAAAGTATGGGATAGAGTCAGATTGTGCTAAAGTAGGGAAGAGTAAATGAGAACATTTCACAGCAGGGAATATTTCTAGAATTATTTCCTAAATGATAATCATTCGGTATTAGACTTGATGTTCTGACTAAACTATAATGCAATCCTATCTAGTTAAAATATAGTCAACTCCCATGAAACATGACTTTTATTTGAGACTTTTTGTTCTCTCATATAAGAGTCATTATAGGAAGCAGTTTGTTAGCGTTGGTCTTAAATACCCACTCCTGATGCCATCTTACCTGCAGAATATAACGGATTTGCTGTTTTGTAAACTCTGACAACCCTTTAGGAATCAATGATTCAATCTCTTCTGACTATAAGAAAAGTTACACAATGAAAACATTAGTAGTTTAGTCTTATGTTCTATAGTTCATAGGTTTTGGCGCAATAAAGCAAATTGGGAGGATAGTAAAAGATGAATTCATATTTCAAAGAATATTTTCTCAAATATCATTTATACTTTTATCATCTCCCATTATTAAACATTCAATTATATTACATAGAGATGGAAAGAACACTGCATTCCAAGGCTCATTAGAGAAAAGAATTGGGCGACTAGTGAAATGTTTCATTTCTATTTTGAGAAAAAACAATCATGATTAGTGTGGTGGCACATGCCATTAATCCCAGTACTCTGGAGGCAGAGGCAGGTGGGTCTCTGTGTGATCAAGGCCAGCCTGGTCTACATAGTGAGTTCCAGGCCAGCTGGGGCTTCAGGGAGACCCTGTCTTTTAAAAATTAAATAAAAGGATCACTTTATAGCTAGGGATAAAGCTAAGAGGTTGAGTGCTTGCATAGTATTCACAAGTCCCTGGCTTTGAACCTCTACCAAGGTTGGGGAGCAATGTAAAAACAAAGTGGTCTTGATAAGGTGTGGTGGTGCATTCCTATAATCCCAGCACACAGGAGGCTGAAGCAATTAGATCATGAGCTGAGGCTAGCATGTGCTACATAACAAGATCAAGGGAAGGATAGAATATACTACCAGATCCTGTTTTATAAAAACAGATAACAAGAACAACAACAACAGTAATAATAACAATAAATACAAAAAAAAATCAACGATCTCAGTGTATCTTTCAAAAACTGTTTTGTTACATGGTAGATGTGATGTTTTTAGAAGCTGAATTTTTAAATTATTAACTTTCTAAAATAAAATTAAAGGCATTATAGGATTTTATTGAATGTTTACTTGGGCAATAGTGACTTTTGAGAGATTGTGATGTTGCCACAGCAACATTTGTAAGTTTAGACTAACTATATAGAGAAGGTAAATTAAAGTGTTTCGGAAAGGCAATTTAGAACTTGCAGAATTGTTGCAATGAGTGTAGACTACCAATATATTGGAAATAAAGATGGAAATTAATACAAAAAGAGGGGATTGTTCTTTCCATTGCATTGAAATCAGCTCTTTTCTTGATTTCTTATTACGTTAAAAAATTGTTTAAAAATTACATATGTAATGAATTGATACTTGAAGTTTTTTTGTACTTCAAATTGCTGCCACATATAAGGCTTGGAAGCAAATCAGAATAAATTTACTGCTATTATGTCGATTTCGTTTTCTAAAACAAAGGGTTTGTGATCAATTGTATTTTAAATGCACTTTTAAGAAAGACAACTTAAATCCTGAAGTGATAGTAATAAAATATTGGTACAATTATAATTTTTATTTTATTAGTTAGAGGCAAAATGGGAATGATTTTCCTTCATTAATTTATGTTCCAGTCTAACAAATGGTCTAAACCAAAAGAATATTATTAGCATTAGCATCAAAAGCTACTGTATTTTCCATTTTACTTTTTCTTATTTTTGTACTTACTGTATCAGCAGACTCAAAGTCCTGTTTGCTGCAAGAATAACAACAAAAACACGTTAGAAAATTCTATTCACTGCTAATATATAAGTGTTACTGTTTTACTTATAATTTGCTACATCCTAATTGTGCTGGTTCAATCAATAATCATAAGTTTTAAGAAATATCTAAAATGGAACTTTCTTTAGTTTGACTTAAATAATTCTCCGGAGAATTAGCTGATCTGCTAGAAATGAATAACATTGAAGTAAAACAATAGAATAGGCAATATTAATTAGTACATCATCCATCATCAGCAGTCCATTTGAGGGTAGGTGTGTGCAGAAGCACTGGACAGCAAAAGCTACCTGGGTCAACAGAATAAAACAATCCCAGTTTTCTCTATTGATTTATTCTCCTTTTATTTCACTCTTTCAGTTTTGACTCTAGCTCCTCTATGTTAGTGCTTCCAAGCTACTCATTCCTTTAAAAATATTTTATTATTTTTATATTTTTATGTGTATGTGTGTATTTCCTGTATGTAGGTAAGTGCACTCGTGTCATGCAATGTGGCTCAGCAGTTAAGAACACTGAATGTTCTTGCTCATTCCATTTTTATCAAAATGAAAACTTTCAAGATGAAGCTAACTCATTCAATCTATGAAACTACGAATGGCTGTGATGAGACTGGAAGGGCATTTGCACCTACACAGGACAAGGCAAAAATGATCAAAATTCTAGTGGGACAATAGAATTTCTAGCAACAAAAGGAGAATTTGGGTGGAGGGACTGGGAGGCTGCTTTTGGAATCAAATTAAGAAGGCAAATACTGCAGAATTTTAGTGGTTGTACTACTCTGGTATATGCCCTGTGGGAATGATGTAAACTGGAAAGAACACAGTTACAGTGTTGTCAAGGGCAACCAACAGGCTTTTATTTTTATATACGTGCTTCCTCTGAACATGGTAGAAGAATGGGAGTATAAACGTATGGTGAACCTACTTCTCAAACAAACAGAAAAACAATTACACATGTTCTGACAGCAAGGCAGAAGGAATGTTTTAAGGTAAGACAGTTTAGTTAATTAGCCCCTACTTTTGCCTTTTATGTAATTACTAATGAGTAGCATATTGCTTACATCTACAAAATATACAAAGTAGAGTGGACTAATGCATAAGGAATTGTCTACATTGTTTGTATGTAGCACTTCATTTCTTGTGCCAAATAAACTTGGGAAGCCTTGGGAAGAAATGAAACATCTTCTCTTTTAAAAATGTTTTACTAAAATAACTGATTGTACATATTTGAATAACAGAGTTTCAGAAGCCTTGCGTTGGTGTTAACAAGAATTATGGTATTACTAACACATGATTTTGTCTTAAAATTATTTTATCCTATTTGGGTGTGGTGGCTCATTCCTTTACTCCCAGAACTCTGGAGGCAGAGGCAGGCAGATCTCTGTGAGTTCGAGGCCAGCCTGATCTATATAGTGAGTTTCAGGACAGCTGGGGTTACAGGGAGAGCCTGTCTCAAAAATGACTCCCAAAAATAATAAAATAAAAAAGTAAAAAGCAGAAAATTTAATCCTATACTGGATTATTGTCTGCTTGAGTTTGCATGGCTCTTGTGCATGCTGACACCCTTGTTGTATGGAAATGAGCAGCAGGCCCCAATATCAGTTAAAGACCTATTGGCAGCTGATTGCTGCTGGATGAGGAAAAGCTGATTTTCTTAAAGGGAGTGACTCTAGATACGCTGACTAGACCCCTGTGAATGATCTTGCACTGAGGGACATCTGGGGACACTAACTTGACTTGATAGGTCTGAACACAATGGCAGAATGCATGAAATGCAGAGGGAGGGGGACTGTTAGAGGGTGCCAGTGGGGAAGAGGTATAAAGAAGATTAAGATGTTCTATATGACATACTCAAAAATTCAATAAAAAATTTACAAAAAATCAATCCTTTCTCTTAGTTCTAATCTAACTTAATATTCATGTTACTATTTTCTTCTTTCTATAGATAAGGAAATAAAACCAACTAATAAAAACTCCAAAACAAAGAAGGAACAATAGTGTTTAATATTAGAATTTTAAAAAAGTAGTCAGGAGCCTGGTGTGGTAGCACATGCCTATAATCTCAGCACTGAGAAGGTATAGGCATGAGGATTGCTGTACATCTGAATCTGCCTGGTATATGAATTAAATTCCAGGCCAACCAGGGCTCTAAAGAAAGACCCCATCTTAAAAAAAAGTGATCAGAATATCTCTGTAAGCCAACTTTATTTAATTATAAAATTCTGAACTTCATCCCTTTCAATGTTGTATTGCAATTTTGAAAGATCAAATGTGAAGATAAAATGAGGAGGAGGTAGTGGAAATGTTGGAAACAAAGAGTGGATCGAGAAGCTGGAAGTCAGAGTGGATTATATCTTATTCAGCAGTAAGGATGGGGACTGGAATTACATTAGGCAGAAAAAAAAAACAGAAAAACAAAACAAAAACACTAACAACAACAAAAACCCACATGCCATCTCACATCCTGGATATGAAGGAATGTAACAAGGAAAAGCAAAAGTGGAGAGAGGTGAAAGACTTATAAAGACAAAGAAACAAGAAACTGACATCCTCTGACAAATAGAAACTCTTGAGGAACAAAATTTTGTGAGACTTTATAATGGTGTGTATACTAATTAGAAGGAAGTTTCTCTTACTTTGCTCAGTTACTTTCTCTACATTTTTGTATGGCAGAGTCTTCCTATAACTACAAGCTGGTCTCTAACCTATTATCCTTCTGCCTCTCTGCCTCCAAAATGGTATTGCAGGAGTGGCCACCACTTCTACTCAGTATAAGACAATAAATTTGGATTACACCTGAATTGCATCCTATAAAATATTACTGGGTAATTTACTAAGGTCCTATACTCTGAAATGTTGGACAATGCAAAACACGATTATTCCATTTTGTGCTTCTATAAACATGAAATGTTCCAAAGCAAAATTTAATCAGTGCAAGACAAATATAAATCATCTAGCATTTTCATAATAAGAATGTGAATAACTGATAAGTCCTTCTGTCTGTAGTTTCTAAACTCCTCCCTGATATTATACAACTATTATTGAAAAGTTAAGTAATTTTCCTAAGAAAAAATATTCAGACTGTGGGTTATAACCCTAGGTTTTGCCATTTTTACAAACAGGTTAATGAGTCTCAAACTAGAGACTGAAAAAGAATCTTCATGAGGGCATATTGGCTGAAACTAGCTCATGATTGTTTTGATGCTATATGTCTTTTTCCAAATGCTCACATAATGCTTATAAGTATATATTATCCCATTTATTAATGAATTATCCACAAAGCACAATTCATGTATAACAGAGGACCATCTAGGCCCCATTAAGATATAGGGAGAACTTTGTAGAAAAAAATGAATTATAGTTTATAGGTGAATGAGTACTCAAAAACTTTTGAGTCCATCACAAGCCCTTCGTATTCATGTGATGTTAATTAGTAATATTTCTCTTGGATCTTCATCTGAAATTTTGTAAGGTCAATTTTCAAATTTCATGATATAAATAAGACAGACCAGTGCCTGCCTCGTGGGTGACATGAGGTGAACTTGTCCAAAAAAACTTGAGTATATGAAATACTTGTTTGAGTAATAGGGGGAAAGTTAGTTGTTTAGATAACAGGATGAGTTGATTAGGTATAATGATCAAGGCCTGGATGAGGAAGAAAGTCATACATTTACAATGGAACCAATTTAAATAAATCCTGGTGCTTCATGCTCACAGTGATATGCTGCAGGCAGAGCAGCAAAGAAGGCATAAATTTAGTCAACAGATATTTGTTAAGTCCTGTATAAGCATCAAAGATACGACCCTCTTGGAGCTCTCGAAATTCTATGAATAGTAGATGTTGGAAGCTGAAAAATAGGGACAGCAGTAAAAAGAGTTGCCATATAAAGTTTACTTAAAGGTTATATAAAATAGTATATATGGTGTCATAGCATATATACCTATATATTATGTTTTACAAAAATGCTGAGTAGCAAAGAATGTAGGTAGTGAATATTCCGCCATAGTCTTGTTACCTAACACCAAGTAGTCAGATCTTATGTAGCCCATGCTGGCATCAAACTCAAGGCTGTCCTCTAGGCTCAACTTCCTAAAGGCTGAGGTGACAGGTGTGAAGCCATTATACTGAATTTCATCAATTCTTAAATGAAACATTTGCTTAGGTTTATCCATAAAATTACCCCATTGCCTCATTAGTTACTAGAGTTCTGCTGTGAACCTAAACTCTATTTTGAAAATTAAAAGAATGTACTAAAGTATTTGATAACTGCAACACGAAGGCAAAAAATTACATTTACGTACCTTCCTCCAATTCGCTCCAAATGTTCTAATAAGCAGTGATATAGATCAGTATTCTTACGGCTCAGGTCAGCAAGCAACTCTCCAAAATATTTGGGATCTAATTTTTCAGGGCCATCATCCTCAATTATCACCTGAAGTAAATACCAAACACAACTATAAGCACTATTGTTTTTAATCTAAGTTCACTGATATTTTGATGTGAAATTTTAGAGTGAAGTAACCTATTAAAATCAGCATGTGAATCACAGCCATTCAACGTTTTATGTTTTTTGAGGTATACATTTTTCATTATGAGAGGAATTTCAAAGAAAATCAACACTCAAATAGTTTTACCTTCATTTCACACAATTCCAAATGATGTAGTGAATATAAAAGTTGAATGACATTAAATTCTTGAATCAAGTTGCTTAAGTAAAACAGTAAATATTTAAAAATCTGGGAATTCCCAATATCATTTCTTTTTCGTTTGTTTGATTTTTTTGACAGGGTCTCCCTATAGCCCCAGTTGGCCTGGAACTCCCTATGTAGACCAGACTGGCCTCAATCTCACAGATCTGCCTGCCTTGGCCTATGGAATACTTGAATTAAGTACTTGGAGGCCTTGGACTAATGATGGCCTCTATGCCCGGCCATCATTTCTTTTTATTAAAAGAAGATTTTAATATTTATTTGTGTGGAAGTGTGTGTGTGAGGGGTTGTGCATGTGCTTTCAGGAGACTGTGGAGGTCAGAAGAGGGCGCCAGATCCCCCCGAGTTAGTGGTAGCTGTGAGTCATCAGACATGGAAGATCAGAGTAAAACCGCAAGAGCAGTACATGCTCTTAACTGCAGAGTCGTCTCTCTGGCCCACCATTTTTCCTTCTCAACTGTGTACTATGGGGAAATGAAAATGTAAAATAGTTCAATTATACTGACTATAGAAAAATTACTATCACCTTTTTTCATATTTCCAGTGAAAGTACAGTTGTTTTATTAGTGTATCTCAAAGTTCGACTAAGGAAACCTACTCAGTCCAATGTCCTACATGTATTTCTTGTCCAACTTCCTCCATTTTCATTTGGACTGACTATATAGTCAATATGACATGGAAGAAAGACACTCAAGATCAAGTTAAAATTTTTCATATACCTAAGAGACATTTGAAGCCAGAAATTATTATGACTATTGTACTAAATAAGACATTTTATTGACTATATATCCTTTTCTATTAATCTTTTCTATATTGATGGACATTTTTCTGTCATCTCAAGACTCATAGCCCAAAGAATCATAAATTAGATTATACTCTACACTACCATAGTATTGTGCTTAGAAATAAGAATTCTAACACATTTATTACAAGCATGCAACTAGCAATTCAAATTTGCCCACTGATGCTTCCTTTCCAAACTGTCCTCTGAAAGCACACCCTAAAAGTCCATGCATACTGAGGAAAATGGAAAAACCAGAAAGCAAAGTACATCTGTAATATGAAAATCAGTTTATAAAATGCAGTCCAGCCAAAAAAATATTGGACATAAAACACAGTATATTTTCATGATAGTATTATTAGGAAATATATATTGAAACTGGAGAAATGACTCAGCAGTTAAGAGTACTGACTACTTTTGAAGAGGACTGGAGTTGGGTTCCCAGCACCCACATGGACAACTGTCTGTAACTCCAGGTCCAAGGAATCCAATACCCTCTTTTGGCCTCTTCAGGTAATGCATGACATGGGTGCACTTACAATAAATAAATAAATGTATATTTAGTGAAATTTCTTCATTGGGACCCATCCTACTCTCGGGAGTTCCTTTTTGTTTTTCCTTACTATATCTACCTTTGGTCTACTTAAAATTTATATTTTGAGAATTCTGGGTAAATATTTCATAACATTAATTATCGTGTCTATACACCCTATGGAATTGCTTCCTTAGGGAAACAATTGCCTACTAAATAGTGTAAAGTCTCGTATATGAACGCATGAAGTAGTGAAGTATACCTGTAAAGTTAATATCATACAGTATGTTTACACATCATAGATTTTGTAAGTAGTTCATATAGATCTGTATAGATAATAGTCTATACAAAACCTTGAAATACTCCAGAAATATAGTAGCTCTTTCCATATTTCTACATGTTATTTGATTTGCCCATAGAAGAATTCACTGCTCTGGACCATGACTTCCCTGCCTCTTGACTTTATTCACATTGCTCCCTGCTTAGAATACCTTCTTTCTTCCTTGTTTTATAATCAAATTTCACTTAGTTTTTTATTGAAATGTATCTCGAGATTTGCTACTTTCCTAAGCCAGCCAACAAAACTAACTGATTTTTTTTTGTGTGCCTGATTATCTTGAATTTTTTTCATACTCTTTCACAAATGTAGATAGGTCATGTTCTCTCAGTTGCTCCCTATCAGAAAAGAAATAAGCTTCAGTTTAAAAAAAAAAAGAAACCAAAAACACTACTATATCAAGTTTCCTGAAGGCCTTCCAGAAAACGTACACAACACTAAGACATGTATTATATTGATGCTGACAAAAATAAAATTTCTAAAGGTATTACATCCTTAGTTAGAGTAACTTTCCATTAGCAAAATTTCTATCCATGTGAATAGGACTGTTCTTTTTATATCTTCCTATGACCCAAAAAGCTTCCTAGAAGGTCAAGGCAAGCAGAAGAGAGTTGTACATATGTTATAAATAATTATTTCAGTCTTTCTTATAAACCATACCAACAGGACAAACTTCTATTTATGTGTGTATGTATATATGTGTGATCATAGGCCAGAAGTGAATATTGGCTGTCTTTCTCAATTGCTCTCCACCTTGTTTTTCGAGGCGAGGTCTCTCACTCCACCTGGAGCTCACCCATATGGCCAGACTAGTTGACCAGCAAGCCCCAGAAACCCTCCTGTGCCTGCCTCCCCAGAGACAGGATTATAAACACATGCTGCAGCACCCAGTTTTTTGTTTTTGTTTTGGTCTTTTTTTTTTTTTTTTTTTTTGAGACAGGGTCTCCCTGTAGCCCCAGCTGTCCTGGAACTCACTATGTAGACTAGGCTGGCTTTGAACTCACAAAGATCTGCCTGCCTCTGCCTCCTGAGTGCTGGGATTAAAGGTGTGCACCACCATGCTGGGCTCATTTTTTGATATGGTTTCTGGACAGTCAAGCACAGGTCCTCATTCTGCAGTCAAGTACTTTGTTGACTGAGTCATCTCCCCAGACACTCTTCAATAACATAACTTAAAAATTTTTATTTTTATTTTATGTGTATGAGTGTGTTGCCTGCATGTATATAAGTGCACCTCTGTCGTACAATGCCCAAGGAGGCCAGAAGAGGGCGTCAGATCCCCTGGAACTGGAGTTATGGATGATTGCTAGCTGCCATGTGGGTGCTGGGATTTGAACCCTGGTCCTCTGCAAAAAGAGCCAGGGATCTTAACTGCTGAATCATCTCTCCAGTCCCATAAGAACTTTTAAAATGAGTTGAGCTGAGCTTTTCTCTACCACTAACTTGCATGGAATTATCTGTTCCTCATTAACAGCAAAAAAATGATCATATCATCCCTAGGGAAGGATACATGACTAGAGATACTTTGGAATTTGAAGCCAAAATAATGCTGCTAGGGACAACCACGGGGACACAAAATAATTTCATGAAAAATATTGTGAAGCCAGGATTGAGGGCACTGATTTTCAAGTACATCAATGCCTTTCACTTTTGGATAAGCATTTTTAGTTAATTAAGCTCACAACAAAATAATATAAATTATTTAACAGGTAAATCACTTTTATTTTTAAAAATAGCGTTATGGGGCTAATGGTATAGCTCAGGGGTAGAATATATGTTTACGATGTGTAAAGATTCAAGTTTGACCATAGGCACCAAAAATTGTTTTACAAAGTAACCAATTTCTAATATTGATGCTTTAAAACATCTGGGGTTTGAGATTGGTGAAGAAAAGAGCTCAATGATTAAAAACTCACTTGAGGATCTACTACTTAGTTGTAGTAAACTACGTGCTTTGGATATTTTATATCATTTATTCCACTTCTTGTAGGATATACTGTACATGGAATTATGATTCTTTCCCTGTTACATATGTGGAAATTGAAGTTTAATTCAGTTAATTGCTGAATGTCAAGTAGTAAAGCAGAATCAGATTTTATAAACCCAGATAATTGAATTGAAATCTGGTGTCCTTTCCTTTTTCCATGCTTCATGCAAATTACAACTACAAACAGAAACTTTTTAAAAAATGGGCCAAACTATAGTTTTAAAAGATCCTACATGCTTTAATGCTTTAAAGAGATTCTTTCAACTATGTCTCACAACTGAGGCATATGAACACCAAGGCCCTCCTTTGTATGTGAATTCTCCACACCTAATTGCTAGCCTCAGAAAGTCTTCAAATGGCAGACTTTAACAAAGCTACATTGAATTTCAGACTGCACTATGAACAGTGAAGCTTAAAGTGATAGATTAGCTACTCATATATGACTAATTTCTAAGTAGATAACGATATCACATAGTTAGACATATTACCAGTGAAACTGATTTAATGAAAGGATATTATAACAATATTTTTGCTCCAGACCAAAAGTTTCAGTCCTATAGTAAATATTGTTTCTATCTCTGATAACTCTCCTGCATACTACCCTACCATTATTACTCTCATTTATGTTTTATTTTTCCCCAGATCTTTCTTCATGACATTTATTCATGTCTTTATAGTTTATGAAAATTTTTCCTCATATATTTCTTTTAGTCTTTATGTCAATTCAACAAGGTAAATATCACTATCTAAGTTTGATGAAGGAGAATGTTGCAGAGATATTTTATATTATTAAGATAACTTAAAATGAACAGTGCATTTAAGTCATTTAGAACTTAAATCTTTTTATCCTGAAGCGATTCCATGGTCTACTATATCACCAATACCTCTCTAGTATCAGAACCTTCTTACCTTTTCTGTGAAATTTGGATCTACCACACTCTAGCTCTATAGTCTCTGCATGTAACTTAACCTCTTCCAACTTTTGTTCCCTAATCTGAACAAGAAGGCACGAATAGCATCTTCCTAATCTGATCATTGTGAGAAGAAAATTAAACAGTATTGTGGTCTACTTTGCACAAGACTGCTATAGTTACCCTTCTAAAGCAATATTTTTATCATTTAATATTTAAAAATTTTTACAAACTATCCATTACCCATAAAAGATAGTCCAAAGTTTTAATTTAACACTTTAGCTCCTAAGGACCCAGCATTAAGGAATCATGTTAATACTTCATCCCAGTATTTCCTTATCTTGTAGCTTCCATTCTACACAAACCAAACTACTAACTACTCTCTTTGGTTTCCTTTCTTTGTGTGTGTGCACATACACATTGTATAATGTGTATGTGTGTGAGTGTGTGTGACTGTGATCCATGTCTGACTCTGTGTACACGTGGAGTTCAGAGGACAACCTCGGATGTCAGGCCTCATATTCCAACTTGTTTTCGAAAGGATCTCTTACTGTTCTCCACTTGGTATGCCACGCTAGTTTGCCTGTATGTTTCCAGGGTTTCTCCTGCCTGCTTTCTGTCTTGCCATTGCAGCACGGGGATTACAGATGCAGGGCCTGGCTTTACATGGGTTCTGGGATGTCTGAACTCAGACCCTCATGCGTGCATGGCAAGGAGTTTATCCACTGAGCCAACTCCCCAGATCATGACTAATTGTTATTGAAATCCAAAATGTACTTTTCTAAATATTTAACTCGACTCATACGATTTGCTCTTCCTTTAATGTTATCTCCATGTACTACCTCAATAGCACATGTGGAACTATTGCTCCTTTTCCAAAGGTTTGTTCAGTTCCCACTTCCTCAACAAACCCTTGATCTCCCAGTTGAAATTCATTTCTTCTTTCTTCTGCTCTCAAAGTGTATTATTTGTTCCTCCTAAGATAAATGACACCATTTTGCTTTGCATTCTATTTTAGGTGTTACCCACTTCCCTCTATTAGAGGAAACCCAGATAAAGCAAATTTGAAAGTTAAATTGAAGTGTACAAATTTAATGGTATTTAAAAAATGTTGACCTATAATGATAATTTCAATTGATTTAAACTAGTAAAATTGTTATCTTTACTATTACTCATCCATTTAAGGTAGAAATTCTCCCCATTATTCTAGAAGCCAATGATTTCATGCAGACATTCATAGGAAAGATAATTTTAGCCTTTTTTAAATTTGAAAAACATGAATTTTAAATCATTCTAGTTATTTTTAAACCAATATGGTCAAAATGTGTACTTTTAAGTATCAGCCTTTAGAAATAATGTCATATTTATTTAATATACACTCATATATACATATAAAAATAATAAAGAGGTCATAAATTTGAGAGGGAATGGGGGCTATGGGTGGCATTAGAGGGGGACATGTGGGAAAAAGATGAAAATATAGTATTCATGTATGAAATACTCAAAAAAAGTAAAAAAGAATATAAAAAACAGAAAACAAACAAAAATTCCAAATTTTTATGTTGGAAGGTACTTCTTGTCTTTTCTCATTCCTTTGTCTTCTCATAAGAAACATCAGTTTGATATCGGAATAAGTAAAAATGATGTCTGCTTCTCCATTATTCCAATTATTAGACTTAGATTTTATCAGATCTAACAGTCTTTTTTTTTCTGTTTACACTTGTATAGCAGATGTTTAAAAGATTCCAAAGTCTTCATAACATAAATTAGTCAATCAAAATTGTTTCCCAGAAGGTTTGTCCCTAGCAACTAACTTTTGGTTTCTATTTTGTTGTAATACATAATAAAGTATTTCATTGTGACTTGAATTAGAAAAATATATTCTCAAAGAGCACATACAGGAACTAATTAGCAGCTTGTGAATTGTGATCACTAACAGTCATCTTAGATAATAATATTTCCAATTCATTTTTCATCTGAACATTACGCTTCACGAAAATATGTGATGCTGAACAACTATTGGGTTCATTTCTAACTGAAAATTATTGGTAAATTAGAAATTAGATATTCATTAATCAAATTATAACTTCATATATTTATTGTATCAAATGGAGTTGAATGGTTTTGTCTTCTGAGAGGAGACTGGACAAATGTTTTTAAAATGCTAGCAAACCATGAATATCACTGGCATAATTCCTCAATGTTTTGATTACACTTTAATGGGGAGTAACTGAATGATGGTGTGAGAAATGTTGCAGAATCTAATCCAATTTTATAAGCAATCAGATGATTGTTCTTACCTGTTCGTGTACCTGGCTTGGCTCACCATGGCACAGTTCATGTCCAATATTTGCAGAAGTTGAATCATTTTCTGTGATGCATTGGATTTTGTGGTTCGAATGGGACTGCTGACAATGTGTAGAGTGGATGATCTGTGGTTGCTGGACAATGTGATGATGGCATTGAATTTGAGGACAACAATCCTAAAACATATATTACATGTCAAAAATAGCTACTTAAAAGAATGACTACCAACCAAGAAAAAAAACTCCAAAAAAAATTTTTTTAATTAAATATATTCTTTCACAAAGCAATTTAAATCCTAAAATGTATACTCTAAATAAGCAATATATCACTTTTCAATTTGTATCTTTGCAAAATTTCTCTTTTAATTTTGTTTTTATTTAATCGGTAGTTTTGACCACTAAAATATTTACCTAGATAGACCAGGAAATTTCATCTTCTGATTAAATTAATATTCTAGCTATACTTATTACTAAAAGCATAGTGAATATTAATTAATTAAGCTTTCCTTGATGATTCAACAGGCACTGCATTACCTAATTACTATGATAGCAAAGCTATAGAAGGACACAAAATTGGAAAATAATTCAATGCAGTGATTTTCAGTATCAGGAAGCATATTAGAGTTTCGGTGGAGGATGCTTATCAAATTTAAATAAATATTGACAGCATCAGTAAGCACAAGCGGTGTTCTTTCTGAAGAGCTGTTTTTTCATTGTTCCAGATGCAAAAGTGGTAACATAATGTACAGTACAGCCTTTATTTTATTTGGGGGGCTATATACTTAAAAAGCTGTTCATTTTCTTTTTTTAATTTATTTTAATTAAAAGAAGCATTTCATTACAACAGCATTAACCTATTCAATAACATTTTTCTGAGCTAGGGTACATCTCTTTCAAAATTGGCTGTACATTTCTAGGTTTACAGATGAATTATTACCCTTATATAATCTTTTACTCATTATAAACTCTATAA